ACTTCCATTTGTTTATTTAATGATGATTATTAACTTTAACTGCTAGGTCTTTATTCATTTACTGTAATCAGTCAACAGGAATGCACAATGCTTGCGAGCCAATGAGCCTCTTTAAAACCGCCCAGGACACACACAGAGCAACCCGTAGGAAATCTTTATTGGTTAGACTGCAATATCAGCCAGACCACAAGGTGACGCTGTAACAGGCATGGTGCACGTGCACGCACGCACGCACGCACACACACACACACATACATACAAACAATCTTTGTTAGTTCGCAATATCCACCAAGATTATAAGCTGGCACTTTCGCATTAGATATACAGCGGTACCTTGGGTTAAGAACTTAATATGTTCTGAAGGTCTGTTCTTAACCTGAAATTGTTCTTAACCTGAAGCACCACTTTAGCTAATGGGGCCTCTCGCTGCCGCCGCACTGCCAGAGCACGATTTCTGTTCTCATCCTGAAGCAAAGTTCTTAAACTGAGGTACTATTTCTGGGTTAGCAGAGTCTGTAACCTGAAGCGTCTGTAGCCTGAAGCATCTGTAACCTGAGGTACCAATGTAAATATAATCAGCCATTTTAAGTAATTAAAAGCTGCTACACACACACACAGTCAGGGATGCAGGTGGCGCTGTGGGTTAAACCACAGAGCCTAGGACTTGCCGATCAGTAGGTCAGTGGTTCAAATCCCTGCAACAGGGTGAGCTCCCGTTGCTCGGTCCCTGCTCCTGCAGTGGGAAGGTAAACAATGTTTCCGTGCGCTGCTCTGGTTCGCCAGAAGCGGCTTAGTCATGCTGGCCACATGACCCAGAAGCTGTACGCCTGCTCCCTCAGCCAGTAAAGCGAGAGGAGCGCTGCAACCCCCGAGTTGTCCGTGCCTGGAACTAACAGTCAGGGGTCCCTTAACCTTAACCTTTACACACAAACAGTATAGAGAGAGATGGGGGGTGAGAACCCAAAACTCGTGGCTCGGGTTGCCACCTGCCCTGTATAATACAGGATTGTCCCATGTTCCAGTGTAAAATGCCTATTTGCTAAAAACTGGAAAAAAGAAACTGTGCAAACAAAAAGGGAATGGCAAGACAAACTGTTAGAGTATATTGAACTGGCTAGATTAACAGAGGCAAATAGAGATCACACTAGACAAGTTTCAAAAAGCATGGGGGAAATGCAGAGAATACTTCACAAAACAGTGCCCTAAAATACATACCTGGACTTCTTTCGATTAATGTCTGCTGGAGACTTTGTGGGTACTTAAGTTATAATTAGAAAAATCTTATTAATTATTAATAAAGGAAATAGCTTATAAGAAGTAAATAAGGAGGGCAGATACAGGATAAAGGAAGTCTTTCATTTGGTTGTTTGTATTGTTGTATATTACGTTTATTGTATTTCTGTATTGGGGGGGAGGGGGGTTTATGTTATGTTGAAAATAAAATTTCCAATAAAAATTAAAAAATAGATAAAATGCCACATCCCATCCAGCCCCACTTGGGGGGGGCAGGGATGAGCCAGGGACCTTCTGCATGCTGACCAGATGCTCTGCCCCTGAGCTATGGCCTTGTGGGATGGGGGTGGGGGTAACATACCAAAGTATGATGAGCAGACCTCAAGCTCTCAGAGCAAAGTGGCTCTGAGCTCCAGGAGAAGCAGCTTTGTATTGGCTTTTCCCTCCCCTTTGCAAGGGCTCATGGGACAGCTTTTTCTCATGAGCCCATTGCACAGACAAGATACTGGGCAAAACCTTGCCCAGTATTTTGTGGCAATCTATGGGTCACAGTATAGGGACACAGGTGGCGCTGTGGGTTAAACCACAGAGCCTAGGACTTGCTGATCAGAAGGTCGGCGGTTCAAATCCCTGCAACGGGGTGAGCTCCCACTGCTTGGTCCCAGCTCCTGCCAACCTAGCAGTTCGAAAGCACCTCAAAGTGCAAGTAGATAAATAGGTCCCGCTCAAGCGGGAAGGTAAACGGCGTTTCCGTGCGCTGCTCTGGTTCGCCAGAAGCAGCTTAGTCATGCTGGCCACATGACGCAGAAGCTGTACGCCGGCTCCCTCGGCCAATAAAGCGAGATGAGCACCGCAACTCCAGAGTCGGCCACGACTGGACCTAATGGTCAGGGGTCCCTTTACCTTTACCTTTTATGGGTCACAGTGTGGCCGAGCCTAGGTGCCCTGCGCTTATTGGACACAGAGCGAGGCTTCTTGGTATATTAACCAGTAAGAACTTAAAGAAAACTGGACTGCATTGCTAGTTGTTTAAGAGCAGTGTGTTTATTTGTATTTACACCTCTTTTTTTGTAACAAGTTTAAGGACAGTTTGCAGTAAAACTTTGGAACTCTTTTCTTGGTGTGGAGAGCTTACTGAGTCACACTCTGCGCAAGGTCCAGATCAGGGAATTGCATTCACATAACTTTAACAAGAGGCCCACACGTACGTCTACTCGGAAGCGCAGGAGGAGGAAGGAGGTGCTCAGGAACAATGTCCAGCACGTAAGCTGGTGCAGAAATCCATTTCACTTCCAGAGGACACCCTTGTATGCGGAGGACTGAAGCAATGGCAGATGGGAAATGGAAGACCCATCTGCCCCCCAAGCAGAGCTGCAAAGGCACCACCACCACACCTGGGACTGAGCTCTGCTCCTCACCTGGCCCATTTTGCAGCATCATTGTAACAGCTCAGTATCTAGCAGGTGAGTGATTGCAAAAGGCATTATTCCCTGGGTAGCTTTTTTAAAAAATTGGTTATTTATTGTGTGATAGTATGTTTGTTTTCAAAAAAGGGAACAATTTCAATTTTTCCTTTATTTGATGTCTCTTAACTTCAGTGTTCCTGCCAACCTAGCAGTTCGAAAGCACGTCAAAGTGCAAGTAGATAAATAGGTACCACTCCGGCAGGAAGGTAAACAGCGTTTCCATGCACTGCTCTGGTTCGCCAGAAGCGGCTTAGTCATGCTGGCCACATGACCCGGAAGCTGTACGCCGGCTCCCTCGGCCAGTAAAGCGAAATGAGTGCCGTAACCCCAGAGTCCGCCATGACTGGACCTAATGGTCAGGGGTCCCTTTACCTTTAACTTCAATGCCATCTTTGTGAGCCGCTTAGGGATAGAACTATTAAGCATTTAGAAAGAGATAGAAACCTTGGTACAAACTGCTCTGGGCCCTTGGGATGGAGTATGGAATCTAAATGAAATCAAACCAAATCACAAACACCAGCGTTTTTTCCTCCTCTCCAACACCACACAAATAGGCATTTAAACGAGAGAGAGAGAGAGAGACTGATAGGGTTGCCTTTCTTTTCTTCTTCTTCCCTTTCTTTTTTACACCTGGGCAAAGTTGTTGAGCTTTCTGTTGGGGACATCTCCCCCCAAAAACGTAATCTTTGCAGTGGTTATTGTTGTTTTTGGATTTTCACAAGAGTTTTTCTTTTTTAAAAACCGCCCTAGTTGCCATACATTTGGGTTTTCCCCCGGACATTTGGCTGATTCATTAAAAATCCACCCAGACACCATTTTGACAGTCCTGTTCCCAGACGTATCCTGGAAAACCTGGACATATGGCAGCCCTAGACACTGAGGCAAATGCAGGCCTGTCAATTGTCTGCTGCTGGTCAATTTGCGGCAAAGTTCCAGAAGCCGAGAAGCGGCCGTCCAACAGAAGGGGTGGGTTGGAAATGGTTTCTGAAGGGAGAGAAGGGGGAAGAGGTCTCAGAAAGAAGTTGTGATCCGAACAAAGTTCGAGAGAGTTGGCAGGAATGCTGAGCAAAGAGGAGATCAGAGGAAAGAGAAAATTTGCTTAATTGTGCCTCTCTCCCCTTTCCATTGACATGGCAACTGTTTTGTGAAATCGCATGCAGCATTTGAGAAAGAAAGTTGCCATTTGTAGGACTAGCCGCCTGAGAAACAGTTTCTATCCAAATGTGCTTTTGGCTTTAAACACAGTGTAAGGAGTTTCTCGGGACAAGGGTGGCACTGTGGGTTAAACCACAGAGCCTAGGACTTGCCAATCAGAAGGTCGGCAGTTCGAATCCCCGCGACGGGGTGAGCTCCCGTTGCTCAGTCCCTGCGCCTGCCAACCTAGCAGTTCGAAAGCACGTCAAAGTGCAAGTAGATAAATAGGTACCACTCCGGTGGGAAGGTAAACGGCATTTCCGTGAGCTGCTCTGGTTTGCCAGAAGCGGCTTAGTCATGCTGGCCACATGACCTGGAAGCTGTACACCGGCTCCCTCGGCCAATAAAGCAAGATGAGCGCTGCAACCCCATAGTCGGCCACGACTGGACCTAATGGTCAGGGGCCCTTTTACCTTTTTAAGGAGTCTCTATGGGAGTATATTGTATTTTAAAAATGGGGTATCAGAGTTTTTAGGGGGCTAACCAGGTTGGGATAGCTGGGATAGCAGGTTTGTTGGTTTTGAATGTCTTATGTAGATTCCCCCCCCCCCCCAATTTTGTTGTTCTGTATGGGACAATGACAATAAAGATTATCGTATCGTATTGTAGCTGGGTCTTAGGGGTGGAAGAGGCAGCCGGTTGGATTGAAGCACTGAGAAGGGCCGGACTCCCGTTCCTCCCTCAGCCTTCCCTGGGGAAAAGCAAACAGGTTCATGTTTGTGGTGCATAACAGGTGCATGACAGCGATTGGAGTCTTCCGCTTGCATTTATGGTAAGTCACAAGAGATCTGCATCTGATTGCTCAATGGCCTAGGAAGCTGCCCAGACTGGAGAGCCAGGGATTGTACCCGGCACCTTCTGCCTGCAAGCAGATGCTCCAGCCACTGAGCTATGGCCTTGAGCTGCCTGCACAGTGCATAAAACAAGCCCCTGGCCTGGCCTGGCCTGGCTCGCCCGTGCCAACAGTCAGTTCTCTTAAACATTTCACCACTAGGAAAGTTTTCAATTCGAAAAATGTGAACAGACAACTCGATATTTCTGTCTTTTTATTCATTGTTTAAGTTACTGAATAAATACAAATAACTCGTGTTTTTGAATTATAATTTGCAGGTGCATAAATACAAGTTATATAAATAGGTCTTATAAATACAGCTGGAAGCAAGTTTCTCTTTGCTTCTCCATGAGTTTCACATTTCATATGCATTTATATCGTGACATAGAACATACAGTTCAATAAGACTGACCAATAGCATGGGGGTAAAGGATGCAACACTCATTACAAGGCAGGACTTTTACATTTTTGGCAAGTGAAGAGAAGAGGCCATTTTAGCTAGGAGAGATTATTTTTGTCATCGTGGCCTGAGGCCAGGAGGAATATATATTCAACATTTTCATGGCCTACTTAAATGTTTTGAAACAAATGGCATTTTAAAGTTGTGTCATCTAGTAAGAAAGTTGCACAAAAACTTTCCTAATTCTATGTTGTCTTTATTTCTGCTCATCCCTGAGATAGCAGTTTCTTTCTCTTTTGAGTCATCAAAGAATGTGATTTGGATTCGGAAAGCATCAGCCTGGAGTCGATCATTTACCTCTGCTGGTCAATTCTGTGCTTCTTTCAGGCACTTCGATTAGCATAGGTTCTTGACATGACGCAGGTGCAACCAACATTAATCACTTCTTTCTCCAGCCAAAAGGTCTGCTGGCAACCAACCAGCTTCCGTCGAAGAACCATGATCTCCTGCTGAATAGGAACAGAATTCAGGGCTATGTTTGGTTTGCCTTTACTGTCCAGACAGAAGGCATGGCGGCAGGTGGCTTTCGAAATCACATGGGGAAACCTGTTGTGATCTTCGTGAATGCTGCAAATACAGAGGCAAAAGGAAGGCAAGACTGTTAGTTTATCAGAACACGTAGAGCCTTGAAACTGGCTGCATACAATGGGAAGCTAAACGTTTGCTCCTCTCCAGCGCTAAATAAGAGTCTTGGCCAAAGAGAAGCAGGAATGGCCGCCTTGTAGAAAGGTCTGTGAGCGGGGAAGGTAGGGTCTCTTTGCATGGAAGAGACTTCCAAAGGTTCACACATCTCAATCCTTCAAGGAAGAGAGGCTGCAAGTTATCAGAAAGTGAAGGAAATGGCTGCTTATTGACTACTATATTAATAATATATTATCATGTGATATGCAATACAATCTGTCAGTTTGCCAGTTCCTCTTCCATGACAGGGGTCGAGAGCCTCAGCCTCTGCCCTTGGGGGTACAAATATGGCCCTCCGGTCTCTTAAGACTCTCCAGGCCACCCCACCCCCCTCACTGGTTCTGCTCTTTACTTCCCTCTAGTACTGGAATGTGAGAATGCCTCTTGCTTGCCTGAATTGTGGATGGAGAGGTGAGTGGGTTTAGAAACCTGTGGCTTTTGCGTGGTGGGAACGTTGCTGACTATGTGGAGGCAGGAGGCTCTTGCTCCTGGCATATATCCCTGGAAGGCTGACTTAAGGGAAATGGGGTCCTTGGGCTGCAAAGGGTTCTCTTCTCCTGCCCTGTGAAGCAAGGGAAGGTGAGAGAGACCCATTCCTGCTTTTAAGCAGGCAGAGGAGGGTGATCCAACGGGAGGTTCTCAAAGCAAGTGCTGCCGAAAAGAATGTGAGATCGGAAACATGCACAGACTGCGTTGATCAAGAGTCTCTTACTTGGGACTGCTACCATGATTACCTGTGAATGGGCACCTCAAACTGAGTGCCCTCAAACTGAGCAGCAGATATACTCCAAGGGGAAGGCAAGGCAAGTGTGCATAGACCAAGCAGCCAATTACTACCAGTAGACATAGGGAGTAAAAGGAGCAGCCATGGGGGAAAGATGTTCTCAGAAACATTCTGCCAGCAGAGAAACACTCTGTGTTCCACACTATAGAGCAGGCTTCCTCAACCTCAGCCCTCCAGATGTTTTGAGACTACAATTCCCATCATCCCTGACCACTGGTCCTGCTAGCTAGGGATCATGGGAGTTGTAGGCCAAAAACATCTGGAGGTCCGAGGTTGAGGAAGCCTGCTATAGAGTCAAATAACTTCCATTTCAAAGGCAGTTGTCTGTAACTACCGTGGTGCAAACTATAGAGTTGTGGCTCTGAAAGCTTTGAGGGCAAGGGCACAAAATCCAAGCACCCATGCTCCTCTGGTGATTTAAGCTTTAGGACCCTCACAACAGGTACCCAGGTTGCCGAAGAGTTCCTCTGTGCCGGCTGGTCGGGCTCCATTCGAAAAGACACAAATTAGTAGCAATGTGAAGCATGTGCAGAGTGCCTTTCCCCCATTGCAGGGCAAATTGAACCAGCAGCCCCTCATTGGATGAGGAGCCCCTGTCCGAGGCTACAATTCCAGATAGGGGTGAGCCCTGGCATTTATCAATGAAGCACAACCTGGGAGTAGCAGAAGCAGGATCAGGGGAAGGTCCAAACACCTCAACAAGAAAAAAAACTGCTCCCTTCATGGAGACAATTCAGCTCTCCCTCTCTCTCCAGTCTGTTTCCCAGAAAACCCGGCTGGCTCCTGGGTTTGACAACAGCTACAAAATTGTGCCCTTTCTTGCGGCAGCCCTAGACATTTTAAAGTATTGAAGAACCACGTTGGGTTTGCTATGCATGCTCTGCTTCATAGCCAACACATTTGATTCAGTGAGAATAAGGACAATACCTGTAATCCCATGGAGATGCAGATCTGTTCCTGATGTCCTGAGGCACCTCACTGGCTGGTTGTGGGCGGCCAATGTGGACTTGGAATGTCAGCGACTTTGGAGGAAAATCCTCTTGGGTTCCAGACTGGGGTGGACAGTTCTCGCTGGGTTCCTCGTTGTTTTTCCCAGGCTTAACTGCTTTTCCAGAAGCTAAATTTATAGCTGAAAGCAGCAGCAGCAACAACCCAACCTGAAAGGGAGAACAGATACAGAATGAGTTGTTTTATTATGTGCAGGTTAGCCAGAGGTATAATCTGAAACTGACATAAAATAGGTTTTTACATAAAACAGTTTATACTAGGCACTCTGCTAATATTGAAGTACTTAAAGGGTGCCAGGTTTTACTGAAAGCCAGAGTTGTGACCCTGAAACCCTTCCTCTGAAGCCTAAAACATCAAGCAGTGGGGGCTCACTGGTGAAGTGGCAATACGCTAAACCTGTCTTTTTTAAAAAATAAAATAAATCGCATATATCAAGTCTAATCCCTTTCACCAAAAGCAACTTTCAGGGCTACTCTCTGTTTGGGAGTTTTGCAGCTGGGCTGAACCACTGCCAGTTTGTGATAGAGGCCAGGACTGATAGACGGATTTCAAACGAAGACAAAATCTCATTGGCAAAAGTTTGAGGAAAAGCTGCACCAACACACACTTGTCATTTAGGATGTTAATATTTATTTACTATATATATATTACAAAATTATAAATAATAAGGCATGACACGACCCCAAAATGGGTCACTAGGGGTGTAAAATACTAAACGTATTATTTTACAGTGATTACAGTAAACCAGTTCAGTGGCTTCTTCAATAAATTCACTTGGAAAACTCAGAATAATAGGAGTGAGCTAAAGAGCATTTCCTGCTTATCCACACTTTATGGCAATATATGTTGTAGGTATTTCTCATCCATGTGTTGCTTCATTTGTATATTAAATAATACTGTGCCAAACAAATTATCTTCTTTTTCTCTCTCCTTGCCACCTTCAATTTTTACAACAGCTTTTCCATTATGGCTGTTTGCCAAATTATATTATACCCAGTGGTCGATATTAATTAATTGCAAAGTTTTCCAAGTTCTATTACCATTCTAGCTGCTGTTAGTAAATGTGTTATTAATTCCTAACTTCTTAATCAGTCTATATTTGAAGTATATAAATTAAGTAAGGCAAAAGCTGAGGTTGTTGGGATTGTCTGAACTGTAATCTGAGATATCGCTTTCAAAACTTGCTCCCAAAATTGTTCTATTTGTTGTTCTATTCGTTAATGTTTATTTGTGTGCCAATCAAGCAAATAAATTCACAAGGAAAGCAGATAGGACCCTGGAGGAAGTGGTACTTGGGGGGGAAACAGTGAAATTCTGCTGAGAATGAATTGATTATATATCAGTCCTCTTTCAAATCTAAAAGTAGCTTTAGATCTATGAGATTACGAAAAGCATTCAGTTATGTGAAACATTAACCCAGAGCAGGTGGGATCACAGTCATAGCTATGAAGCTTATCTACGGGATGAAAATCCCTCCAGAAAAAGAAGTTCATGAATTAGGAAATAGTTGTTATCCAAATGCTTTAAACTGTACTGTCCAAATCTATTACATTAATTACACATATTACGCTAATTAAATATAGCTTATTGTTGAAGCTATAATGAGGGATGGATAGACAGACAGAAGACTTAGATAACCATTGGCTTCAATTTTTGGTAGCAAGTGGGTTGGGAGATTGAAGCTTCACTAACAAAATTCTGCATGTGGAAGGAAGACTGATAACAGGATGAAGTAAGAACTCAAATGCAATGTCAAACGCCTCTACTTTTTAAGTTGGACACAAATGGGTACTAAGAGTTCTATACACCATAAATGACAATCTATATTATCAGTGTACTCACCAGGGAGGGAAATCTTGTAGAAGCCATAGTAGCTTTTCTTTTCTGCTGCAAGGAGCCTATTGCTGGAGGTTCTTCACCTGAGTACCTTGAATCGTGTCCGTATGTGCAATCCCGGTCTCCTTTTATACTGTCTTCAGAATCAAAGCCTGTTTTTTCCATTCGCTAGTCTTCCCGCCCTCGGTTGTGGTTCAGGGGCAGCTGTGGCTGACATTTACCCTTTTTTCCCCTCGACCACTTCCTCGAAAGTGTCACATGTCACATACGTACACCAGGGGACAGAAAGGGAAATGCATTTAATACACCACCTACCTAGTTATGGGGAATCTAGACCAATAGATTTGTTTGAATGAAAAACAGATGGCCTACAAGATAACGGCAAGCTTGCCTGAGAAGCGTTTTTTCCCCTTTCCCCTTTTTAGTGTATTGCATCATTACAACTTACCTATTGTAAAATAGAGCAATCTAGATCTATGTCATACGTTCATAATCTGTGTATGAAAGCACGTAGACAAGCATCCATCATATGGATATAAACTAGACAATTGCCCCGTCAACCCTGCAAAAATAAATTCTGCCACTTTCACCATCCATTGTACATCATAGGTCTTTTATTTCTTCCACTTCTTCCAGTGATTTCAGGGCAGCATCCTAGTCCCACAACAATTACGTTGGTTGAGCTGGGTTGTGAGGCGATAAATGGGCTCAAGAGACCACCAGCTTCATCATTTTGAACCTACATCCAACCCCAGGATTATAGCAACTTGCTGCTCCCTTTCAAGCAAATGATATTGTTGCATTGGGAGTGCAATGCCTATTTGTTCTAAAGGGAGCCAGGCTCCCTTTCACAGATCTTTTCCTTGGAAAACCCATTTTCCCTGCACTCACGCTGCAATTCTGCATGGCTCCAGCTACAACTTTAGTAGTAATGAATACTGCACAATTGTGGAGCCGTATGTGATAAAGGGGTCTTGTCTGGGCAGTCCAGGACTTCCATATACACAATCCAGATAGGTCACTTCGGTGCTGCTAATGCAGCAAAAACAACACAGGAGTCCACTGTTATGAGTTATAAGCTCCACCTGATTGGCAAAAAGTACAAGCGCTATAGCTTGCCTTTGATTGTGCCCTTCCACAGGAACATGCATTGCACTGTCCACAATGATGGCTTTTCTGCAGACATCTTCCCTATAAAGAGTGGTCTGAAACAGGGCTATGTTCTCGCACCAGCTCTTTGGCACATTCTTCTCCCTGTTGCTCTCATATGCCTTCAGCTTGACTAAAGACAGTGTGTTCTTCCATTCAAAGAGCAATGGGGTCTGTTCATCCTAGGTGGTGGGTTCTTATGCCTTGACAGCGCCCTCCAAGAAAGCTCTACAGAGTCTCATCAACCATTTTGCCCAAGCCTGCATGGGGTTCAGCCTCAGCCCAACGAAGACCAACATCTTGGGTCAGGATATTGCCAGCACTCCACACATCAGCATTGATGACCACATGCTTGAGGTGGCAGACCATTTTATCTGCCTGGGCTCCACCATAACCAGCAACCTCTCCATCGATGCCGAGCTGGGCAAACATATTGGCAAGGCAGCTACAGCAATAGCTCACCTCTCCCAAAGGGTATGGGAGAACGCGATGCTAATGTCCAATACCATGATGATGGTCTACTAGGCTTGCGTGCTGAGCATGCTGCTTTATGGTAGTGAGCCATGGGCAACTTATGCCTACCAGGAGCAATGCCTCAATGCCTTCCACATGGGCTGCCTCAGAAAGATTTTGGGCACCGCTTGGCAGGGCAGAGTCTCAAACAAAGATGTGTTCTCCCAAGCCCACATTCCCAGCATGTTCACACTCCTGTCTTGGCGACATGTATGCTGGATCATGTCCACAGAATGGAAAATGGCAGGATCCCAAGGATGTGCTCTACAGGGAGCTGGCTTCTGGCACCAGGCCCATTGGCAGACCAACACTGTGTTACAAAGATGTCTGCAAACATGACATGAAGGCTGGCAACATCAGTTGCCTGTGGGAATCCCTTGCCTGGAGACAAACAGTCAAGTTGTATATCCATAGCAGTGCCAAGAGGAGGAATGAGTGCTGGGAGGAACCCAGAGAGAAGAAAGTGGATGCCTTCATCTGCCCCAGCTGCAATAAAACATGTCTCTCCCATTTTGGTCTCTACAGCCACCGCAGGTGCTATAACTCTCCAACAGATGGAGGGCACACTCCTCCATTGTCTCCTGAGACAAATGGATGTCAACATGAAGATGTGCCATAAGTGCCTATTAATGGATAGTTTCTGTGACATCAGTTCAATGAGCACCCCCGTACCCAGGCCTATGCAATAAGTTATAGGATCATCTATTTTATGTCCCAGAAACTCCAGCGGGTGCAGAATGCTGCAGTGAGGCTCCTCACGGGGTCTCTGCCATGGGAGCATATTCACCCAGTGCTTTTCAAGCTGCACTGGCTCCCGGTGGAGTACAGGGTCAGATTTAAGGTGCAGCTTTTGACTTTTAAAGCCCTTCACAGCCTAGGACCTACGGGACCGCCTCTCCCGGTATGCCCCACGGAGAGCCTCAAGGTCCATAAATAGCAACACCCTAGTGGTCCTGGGCCCTAAGGAAGTTAGATTGGCTTCAACCAGAGCCGGGGCCTTTTCAACACTGGCTCCGGCCTGGTGGAACGCTCTGCCTCATGAGACCAGGGCCCTGCAGGATCTGATTTCTTTCCGCAGGGCCTGTAAGACAGAGTTGTTCCGCCTGGCCTTTGGCTTGGAGCCAATGATTCCCTTCCCCTCTTTCTTTTTTCTTTTTCCTTTCTCCTCCTGTGATGAGGCTGCATTTTAATATTTTAATGTTTCAATATTTTAATTGTTGTATTTTAATATTGTTTTTAAGTTGTATTCATTCAACTTGTTTTTATTATTGCTTGTTAGCCGCCCTGAGCCCGGCCTTGGCTGGGGAGGGCGGGGTATAAATAAAAATTAGTATTATTATTATTATTTCCATGAGTCCCAGTCCCCCTCTATGACTGCTGTGGTGGACATATCCAGTGCACATTCAGAGGGGAAATGAGGGGTCACCTTTTCTTTTCAAACACATCCCCTAGCTATTCCTCTACAGCAAATTTCCACCTGCCTTCATTCACTTGGCTTCTGGTTCTGGGGAAAGGCTCAGTGGAAGAGCATCCGCCTTGTCCACAGAATGTCTCAAGTTCCATCCTTCCAGGTAACTGTGGGAGATACCCCTTGTCTGAAATCTTGGAGGGCCACTGCCTATATGTGTAGACAATACTGCGCAGGATGGATCAATGGTGCAACTCGGTATAAGGCAACTTCCTGCTGAGTATACTTTTTTGCACTGACAATAAATGAGCACTTTTCTTGTTTCTGGAAAACTCATGATATTGACCCCTTTACTTTTCCTTAAAGAGACAACCTTGCATCAAAATTGACATTACAGCTTAAAGGAAAGCCCTTTCGAAGAACTCTACATTCCTGATCGCCATAGTGCGTCATAGAATTACGTCCTTTCTACTCCCATATTGTTGGAGGAATACAGAAGAAACTGAACTATGTGCTAGATGGAACCATTTTCTCAAGAGCAGCCGGGAATCCTGCATTTGGCTCTTCTAGCTGGGCTGCAAGCTGTAGAACCCTACTGCAAGATATCCACTTCTTAAAAATGGGTTTTTTGTTTTTAGGGAAACGGCAGAGAAGTGCACTGAAAATTAAAAGTCAATAAAAATAAAGCTGGTCCTAATTCTATTTCTTAATTGGATTATTCTTTCCACAGCATATTTTATTTGTGTCCAAAATTTATTTGCATTCTTGCAAATCCACCATAAATTACGGTGTGTGTGTTGAATTTCAGTATTTGATTCACATTCCAAACATCTATTGTCCATACTTGTGCTAATCTTGTAAAGCATGTTCCATCAAGTTACTACTATAAAATAGATTTGTTTTGTACAAATAGAAATGAAAGGTTTTGCCTAAGTTTTCATATATACCGTACTTCCAGATTTTGAACGTTGTTGATACCCCTGGATCTTGTTCCCAACTTACTTATCAGCAGACTAAGTGACCACTAGTGACCCTTCCAACTCCCAGAATCCCATTACTCTACGCTGCCTGCAAGCCAGGCCAGTGAATTTCACCACCCCGGTCTTTTCTGTGGAATGTAATAGTGTCTGCAGTGAGGAAAGGGATTAGCAAAGCTGAACTCTTCCCCATTGTGTTTGTACTGTTCATGAATGGGGAGTAGCATTAAGTGGTAGGAGTGGATTGAATTTGCAGTTAAAAGTCAATGTATCAAATTTGTAGTTTCCAAAACAATATGAGAAGTGAAATACGGACATCCTTTGGAAATGTGGACTTCTCTGAATTTTGCAGTGCAATTCTCCAGCCACATAATGTGTACCTCCCCAAAGTGCATACACTCATGTACATAAAAAATGCATACAAACATGCATTATTAGGGAGAACTACTTTGCAAACCACAAGGAGAAGGGGATGACAGAGGACGAGATGGTTGGATAGTGTTCTCGAAGCTACCAGCATGAGTTTGACCAAACTACAGGAGGCAATGGAAGACAGGAGTGTCTGGTGTGCTCTGGTCCAGGGGGTCACGAAAAGTCGGACATGACTAAATGACTAAACAACAACTTTGCAAACATGCGTTGCATTGGGCAAAACTGCCTTTAAAAAAATTCACTAAAATGTGGGAGGATTTTCACGAGGACTTTTAAACACACACAGAGAGATATGGAGTTGTGGAGAACTGAACTTACATTTGGAAAGATGAGAAATGGAGAGAAACCAAAACGGACTTATTGCCCCATTGCTAGTGCAGAGTGGGGCCACTCACATTCCTCTTCAGGAGGGGGAGCCTGTATACTGCGCAAATCCCACAACACTTTCCCCCCCCAAAAAATTGTATTGATTTTCCAAAATATTTTTTTAAACAAACAAACAGACAGACAGACAAACAAACATAAATCTCAACCGTTTTAAGCCAATCTTAGTGACATTGTTAAGTGACTTCCTTGTATCCCCCTAGTTGAATTTCAGTGTATATCATTTTAACAGTTTTCCAAAACCAATTTTCTCATAAAATTAACTTAATCACTTAACATCTTTCTATCTTTCTATTTTGGCA